AACGTGACGTCATCGACCCCTTCCCCCCCCAGATGATTGCCGTCATCGGCCCGGACTTATATATATATATATATATAAAAAAAAAAAAAAAAAAAAAAAAAAAAAAAAAAAAAAAAAAAAAAAAAAAAAAAAAAAAAAAAAAAAAAAAAAAAAAAAAACTCCAGCCGCGTCCGCGCGCGCGACGACGATGAGCGACGAGCGACGAACCGCGAGCGACGACGACGCACGACGACGACGACGACGACGACGACGACGACGACGACGACGACGACTGCGGACCAGACACCCATGCGGATTTCTACGCGGACACCTGCGCGGATCCCAACGCGCACGGCGGCAGTGCCCGGAACGCACTGGGGGGGGAGCGTTACGTCATAGGGAGGGGGGGGCGGGGACCATGACGCCCGTCATGCCGAAAGCAACAAAGAAACGGGCTCTACCAATGCACAGGGGGAGTTGCCACGAGCGCATTGACCCTTCCGTCCGGAATCTGATGCTCGTGCCGCTGAACATCTCTCAAGACAGCGACGCGCCCCCTTTGCACAGACGAATTCTTGAATGCGCGCCCAAAGCCTTCGCTCTGAACACCGCCGACACTACCGAGAGCCAACGTCTAGAATTCAAACACGTTGGCCGCCTGGGTTGTGAGACTGCGCCACAACCAGGCGCTCCGACTCGCGGGATGCAGGCCCGCTCGTAGCTGCCCCTCGGGGGTCCCGCAGAGCCACGAATGCCTCTGGCCTCTCTTCCTCAGCGTTTGCCAGCGCCCTTTCCGGCGCCTCGAATGCCCTCCTTCTTGGCGTAGACGCCTTGCCAGAATGTCTGCTTCGTGGCCTGTCGGTTGGAGATGGTCCCATCCCCTCCTGGCGCCCGCTTGCCCTGCTTGCCGCCGCCTTTGCCGTCGGCGCGAAACGAACGGCCTGTTACGTCGCCGGCCCCGCCATCTGCCACGCCAGACAAGTGATTGGCCCGACTCTCCATCAGAACCTGCTGCTTGGCCAACTCACTGGCGGTTTTGGCTGAACGGCGTGCCAAGGCGTCCGCCGCGGTTTGCTGCTTCGCCAGGGCGGACTCCTCGGCCGCCTGCCAGCCTGCGCCCGCGGGCGGCGAAGCTAACCCAATCGAGGTGCCCGTGCCGATTGCTTTCAAAAGCGGCTGCAGCCTGGCCACGGCTGTGCTCCGAACGCGATCGCCCTTTTGCCCGGCCAGCTGCCGGAGCTTGAGGGCTGGGCCACGTCGCTCGGCTCGCTGCGCCCAGCTCTTCCGCAACAGGTCATCGTACACGAAGGCGCACGGCGGAGAACCGCGCTGCACGGCCTCCTCCTGCGCCAACAACTTGAGGACGTGGTCGTGCTAAACCATCCCTGTCGCCCAATCGAGCTGCTGCGTGCTGACTGCCAGGATGATGTACCGCATGAAACCGCCACCCACTGCGCCGTAGTGCGGGGCATTCGCGGCGCGGCTGATGCTGCTTTGAGCGCCGCCGCCAGTTCGGACACTGTCGCCTCTGAAGAACCATCCGCACATGGCACGTGCTCAAAGCCCCGGGCCGCCCCGCCAATGGACTCGGCAGAGATCCACATGGGCAGAATGTAATGTCTACGTGCATGAAAGGCTGCCGCGGCGGCGTGCCTGCCTTCGCCAAGGTCGTGAACGCATTCATGAGTCGCCACTGTTTCTGCAGCATTTGCATGTGGCACGGCAGATCCTCCATGCCCGCGTCCTTCAACAACTGATTGACGTCCACCGCGGGCGACGTCGCCGCCGACAGCGCGCAAGTTGCTGCCAGAGCGCTCGTCTTGTCGCCCACAAGCGCCATATCAGCCATATTGAGCTGCGGAGCTGCTGGCTTCGGTTGCGGTGGACTCTGTATCGCCGTCGCCGTGTTCACGGCAACCGCGGCCTCAATCCTAGCGGTCTGCTCTGCCCGGCGCACCGCTCTGCGAACCAACGCTTTCTGTCCAATCGCATCCGCGGCAGGGGTTCCAGGCGCTGCCAATAGCTCCACAGGGTCGACGCCTTCGAGTTGTGCCGACGTCTGCAAAAACGCAAGGTTGCAAAAGAAAACCTCAACGGCATCCACGTCCTCTTGCTGCGGAGCCGTAGAATCAACGATCGTCACCCACTGGGCCCAGTCCGATTGAGCCATGCCGCTCCCTCCGAATCAAAGACGTATGATTCAATACTGGGGAGAAAGCAGAAGAGCTGAACATGTTTGCGCCCAAATGGTATGGAGGAGGCCGACTGCAGAGGGGGGCGCGAAGTGTATTGAAATGAATCCTCTGGCCTGCATCCCCTTGACCCCCGGCTTTCACCAAGTCGCCCTGCATAACTGCATGCGGCGAGGAAGGATGATGAGGGAAAGAGGGGAAATGCACGCGCATCAATCCTCAACTCTGCCATGAACTCCCCTCGACCTGTGACGATTCGCATTGGCGGGTGCAGAATGACATTGCGCTACCGGCCGATGTTTCATGATCTGTTATCGGTCGGTTTAGGAAGAACAATCGACAATCGTCCCCAGACGATGTTTTTTTTTACGAAAAAAAGAATATTTCTCATGTAGAGAGACGTGCCCGACTTAAACGTTGTGAAAAATCACGACGGGAGGTTTTTCGCTATGGTCGGCCTCCCGGGGCCCTCACTAGGCCTCGGAACCGTCCAAAAACCCAAAAACTACTAGGATGCAAAGACGGTCCCGGGTAAGGGGTCCAGACCTCTGGGGGTCGACGCTGTGAAAAAATCACGACGTCGGGGGTCTGGGTTGCCTCTATCCTGGGCGTTACAAAAATATGTGTTGGACGCTGCGCGACCTCAAGCCGGTGCGCTATGGCGCTGGTGGATCGAGAAAGCCACCGTGAAGAAACCGCCTTGGGCCCAGAGGTCAACAGATGAAGTCGGACAGGCGCAGCGGATCAAGAGAGGCAAAAGAGGAAATGGGGAAGATGCCAGCACTGACGGGCGCAGAGCATGCGCCTCCAAAAGCAATTACTGACTCTACCTCTCCCTGAGCTCCTCCCAGGGTGCCTTCTGACCCGAATCCCGCCGAGAATCTGGCCGCGGCGCCGAGGCTCTGCAGGGCGATAGCAGCGGACGCACCGGCACCTCCTACCTCCTCTGACGCTGTTGTCCTCGTCCGCCTCCTCGCCCCTCTCCTCGGGTGTTGCCAGAAGTGCCCCTGGCCCAAGGTGCCCCCAGGATCTCCACGGAGCACCCCGCGGCCTCCAGAGCACACCCCTCACGAGGTCCGGAGGGCCCCAGGAGCTCCAGAATCGAGCGAAAAGCTGGGGGTACCTTGGGCCATCGGGGATGGACAGAACGCCCTCATGCAAAACGTGGTTTAGTGAGAACGACCTCGGGCCCAAACCTGGCGGCGGCGCCCTCTCGAGAGCCGGAAACGGACAATTCACCAATCGACGTGTCCGAGTGGGGGCTCTGTCCACCCCCGACTCTAGCAACCCCCGACCTCCCCCTGCCAGGATGGCCCCCGGCGCTGAGCGCGCCGCCCGCACGCCCTTGCCCGCCCGGTGCGGCCGCTGCCCGCTCCACCGCCAGGAGACGGGCGAGAGCAGCCGCGCGGCGTGCCCGCGGGCTGGGAGCTCCGGCTGTTCTCCGCGCCCCGCCCCCAGGAGAGCCCAGAACCGAATCGACAAGTCGGATCGGCGATCGACATGAATCGGATCGGGGAAATCGGCAGCCGAGCCGGGAAAAGTCGAATCGGCGTAAATCGGCAGGCTACTATGCCTCCAAAAAGAAGCCAGAACCCAAATCGGAATCCCAAATCGAATCGAACCGGAATCGGAATCCATCGAAGTCGAATCGAACCGAATCGGAGGAATCGACACGAGCCCTGCGCCCTTGGGGGTCCTCCCGTCGGCCCGGAGCGAGTGAGAACCGCCCCAGAAACTCGTGCTGCCTCTGCTGCTGCTGCTGCTGCTGCTGCTGCTGCTGCTGCTGCTCCTCCTCCAGCTGCCAACCAGACCTGCAGGGTGGGCCCTCTCTATTTTTTCTGTGCACTTCAGCTCTGGCTTCGGTTTCAGCTGTGGGTGTACCGTGAAGCGCCTTCGGGCCAGCTCACTCGAGTCGGATTTCCCGCTCGCACGGGCGCTCCTCCCCCTCCACCTCGCCCTCGTGGCTGACCTGCCCTCACCGACTGCCCACTGGGTGGTGGCTGAGTGGCGTGGTGTTGCTGACCCCAGGCTGTCGTTGCCGGGGAAGGGGGCCAGGGGCTTCGGGAGCCCGATTCAACAGAGCGGGATGAAGAGGGAGACAGCATAGTCCTCAGAGTCCTCCTCCTGACCCTCCTCCTGCTCCTCCTCCTGCTCCTCCTCCTGCTCCTCCTCCGGCTTCTCGTCGGTCTCTCGTCCTCGTCCTCCTCCTCGTCCTCCTCCTCCTCCTCGTTCTCCTGCTTTCGCGCGCCGCCTCAGACCTCCAGGCAGGATCAATCAGCACCGAATCGAGAAATCGGATCGAATCGGAGTGTGCGTCGGATCGGGCTGCATCGGCGCGGAATCGAAATCGAACGAACCTGATCGCTGGGGCTAAGATGCAGAGCAGCGCCGTGCAATCTTTGGGCCTCATCGGATCGTCAAAAGGTCAGAATCGAAACCGACCGAGCTGGCAAGAATCGATATCAGGATGAAGTTGAAGGCGAATTTGGAAGAATTTGTACTAGTTCCTTTGCACATGGGCGAGTGTCCACTGCCCAGGCCCGTGCAAGGCACTCTTGCTCGCTCGCCCGCGGATGCGGAAGTCTCCGTTGTGCAGCATGCGCTCTTGGCTGAACAGGCAGCCAGCGGCGCCCTGGTAGGGCGCCATGCGACTCTTCGTGCCGATGGGGCGGCCGTGGTGAAGAGCGGGTGCGGCCATCAGTCTCGCAGCTTCGGGGAAGCTCGACTCCAAATGAAGAGGCTCTTATCGCAGTGGGGCTGTGCCGGGCTAGGAGCGCACACATAGCATCGAGGTTCGGCCCGCGGTCAAACCCGATGCGCCCCCATCCTTCAAGCCGCACGCCTCCGTCCCTCAACACCCCCGATCCACTCACAGCCACTACCCGCAACAAACCCTGCTCGCTCTCCTTGCAGCATGGCTTGAGTGCCGCTGATAACACCACGGCTGAGGGGGCTGTCGGCAAAGTGCACGCCATTGCTCTTGCTGACGGCATACGCATGCGCCTCCTGGGAAATTGCGCGGAGAGAGGATCAAGGTATACGAGGAGATTTGGAGGATGATGATGAGAAGGAGGAGGAGGAGGAGGGAAAGAGACAGACAGCTGCGCAGCAAAGAAGGCAGTGGCAGGAACCTCTCTGAGGGCAGCACTGATTTACAAGGAGGTGGCGCAGGTGAGAGAGGAGGGACGAAGCCGAAGCAGAAGAGGGGCAATCAGAGATGAGCGGAAAAGGGGAGGGTCTCTCACGCTTGCGGCCTTGCTAGGTTGCGCTTGCAGTCTGCAAGGTGCACACTACGGCCAGAGGACTAAAGCTCATACCATCAACTGGCCAAAGCGGTAGATGTAGATGTGATGTCAGTCTGCACTTTTGCCCTAGGTCTCGATGCACGAGGATCCCAAACGAGATTCAGACCAGGAGCAGTTCTGCCTGGGGCGAAATGCACCCACACATCTGCAACCGGCTGGCTCATCTGGCTCAGCTCGCCGATCTGTTTTAAGCGTTGCGAGCCTGCGGAACGCGATGGAGTCCACTTTCAAGCACACGCTATCACAGTGAGGGAAGAACACGAGCGGCCAACCGTGGCCACGGAGCGAAACCAAAGCACAGTCTCTGCAACAGCGAACAGGCCTAAACCTCGCCGCGCGCTGCCAGCAAAGCTGTGCCTCCACCCTCGTGCCTTCCGGTGCGCACCGCATCCATGACTGCAAAGTTCATAACTGCGCGGTGGACCCTCACGGCATCATCATCAGCATGCACCAGCGGGGGTGAGATCCCTCCTCAGACGCTCTGTTCAAGCATCTTCTCTCTTCGCAAACAAGGAGAGCTGTCCCCCCCCACCCCCTCTCGCCTGCTTATTTTGCCACTGGCCAACCTTCTCCACACCCCTCGCCTCATCATCATCCTCCCCGCTGCCCTCACCATCTCTCCTTTCTCTACCTTTTGTTTTTTCCAACTGCACTTGCTCACTCCTTCTCCCTTTCCACCTCACCATCGCCCCTTCCAGTTCCGCCTCCGCTTCTGTTCCGTATCCTCAATCCCCATCCTGCCATGGTCATCCTCTTGCGTACGGACTCATGCCTGTACAAATTCATCCTTGTCATCATTATCATGCACCTTCCTGCCACCATACATCCCCTCCTCCTCCGCCTCGTCATCATCGCCACCACCACCACCATCACCATCACCATCACCATCACCATCATCACCATCACCGTCACCATCACCATCACCATCACCACCATCACCATCACCATCACCATCACCATCAGCAGCATCATCATCATCATCATCATCATCAGATTGATCACCAGCATCACCAGCAGCATCACCATCATGTTCTTCTTCACCATCGTCAGACCATCCCATCAGCTGCAGCATCAACATCATCATCGGCATCATCATCATCATTATCATCTTCCGCAGCAGCATCATAATCATGCATATGGTGCCATATCATATCATACCATCTCCGATTATCAGCATCATCATGATCAGGATCATCACCAACTTCAGCATCATCATCATCATCAGCATCATCAGCATCATCAGTTGCATCATTACCACCATCCTGGTAATCATCATCAGCACCAACGTCATCGTCAACGTTATCCATATCAGCATCATCACCATCATCATCATCATCATTATCATCATCATCATCATCAACAACATCAACATCATCATCACCACCAAAAGCATCATCTTCAGCAGCATCGTCATCATCATCCTCATCATAACCAGCATAATCATCATTTGCAGCATCATCATCATCATCATCATCATCATCAGCAACATCATCATCAGCATCATCATATGCATCAGCATCATCGTCAGCAGCGTCGTCATCATCCTCACCCTATGTTTATCACTACTAGGTCAAGCAACTTCGCGCATCGCGCGCTGCGATGCGCGACGCACGGTTCTCCTCGGGCCCTCGCGCCGCCCTCGGAGAAGGCCAGCTCCGCGGCACCCGCCGACACGCGCAGAGCGTGGGAATCTTCGCGCCCCCCGGCGGGACCTGGCCGCTCGCTCAGGGCATCTTGGCCCGCAGCCCACCCAAAGGGCAGGCAGCACACGCAGCTCTTGATACGGTGGAGGCATTGGACAGGGAACGCTCAGATAAGGAGTCCAGGGTCTGGAAGCTGGTGGGACTCCAATCGTGGACCGGCCATGGGTATCATCGCAGCCCCCATTGGATAAGGGATCCCCCAGGGTCTACAGCCTCTTGGGCACATTCCTTAACGACTGCCCCCACCGGACTCCTTGTGTTGATACGGAGTCTGGCCAGGGTGCGCCTGGACTTTTGCCGGCAGGCTGGCGAATGCCCTGTGCAAAACGAGCCATAAAGCATGAGTGTCTCACTTCGTGGCTCTTTCGGCGACTCAGCCAAGATTAGGTCGGACATGTCCTCTGCAGGCGGATTTTAGAAGACACAGAGAAAATATTCAAACAAATCAAAAACCAACAAGAAAACTAAAACATACCGAAACAAACAACAACAACAACAACAACAACAACAACAACAACAACAACAACAACAACAACAATTACTAGCACGTGGGGACACACCGTTCTCACCAGTGCCAGGGTTTTCATAGGAGGCGGGCAATACCCCCACTTTGTGGGGGGGCCGGTTCAAGCTCTACCAAATTTCCAAACGACTCTTCGCCACCACCCACACCCAGCTTCCCGCCCTATGACGTTCGGACACTTCACTTCGTGGCATGCGGACGACCGTGGCTACTATTCAGGGCCCCGCGGCCGACGACGACGGCGTGCGCGCGCGAAGAAAAAACGAATGTGTCCCGCATGGTATTATTTGACAGGGATGATGGCCCTGGCAGGTGCGCAACCGTTGTTGCAGAAGTTCGAAAAAGTTGCTCGCAAAAGCCCGTTTGACAGAAATGATTAAAAAGTGTTGGGTTTCCTACGAATCCGCAAGAGCGCGCGGGATGAAATTTTGACATTTTTTTTGAAAAACCATTGGTTTTTTGATGTTTTTATGTTAAAATCGCTACGAAAACTAAGGTTTTGGAAGGATTTCGTCTTGCGCGCGCGAATGTCCACTTTACCTTATTTTTTGCAAGGGATTCTTGAAGTTTGGTTATGTTAGAACAAGAAATGTCCACTTTAGCTTATTTTTTGCAAGGGAAAACCGATCGTAACAACACAACCGGATCCGGACCAACCCGTTTTGCCTGAGACTTCCTCACGAAAATGATGAAAATGAGGCTGCGGCCTAGGCGCGGCGGGGGGGTCGTGCACCAGGGGCCCCAACAATAATTATTCTTTAGAAGTAATAATGTTCAACAACAACAACAACAACAACAACAACAACAACAACAACAATTACTAGCACGTGGGGACACTCCGTTCTCACCAGTGCCAGGGTTTTCATAGGAGGCGGGCAATACCCCCACTTTGTGGGGGGGCCGGTTCAAGCTCTACCAAATTTCCAAACGACTCTTCGCCACCACCCACACCCAGCTTCCCGCCCTATGACGTTCGGACACTTCACTTCGTGGCCTGCGGACGACCTTGGCTACTACACTGGCGCATGGGTACAGTGACTTGTTGTGGTAACATTTTCTGTAAGCTAGCTTAGTATACGACTAGCTAGACGTTCCTCCCTCACTGGAAGCTTCCAGCTTCCAGTGAGGGAGGAACGTCTAGCTAGTATACGACTTTAGTACCGACAAAGCCATGACCCATCCAAGAACACAGGCGATACCTTGATCCGAGATGGCTGCGGATGTGACAGTGATCAGTGATTTTGTTCGATGACGTGGTGACGCACGGACTTGTTGTGGTAACATGCCGACGACGACGACGACGACGACGCGACGACGCGCGCATGTGTCCCGCATGGTATTTTTTGCAAGGGATTGTGGCCCCTGGCAGGCGCGCGAACGCCGTTGAAAGAGCGTGCGAAAGTAGCTCGCGCGAGCTCATGTAACATAAATGTTGAAAAACCATTTGTTTTTAAGGATTCGGACAGCGCGCGCGGGTAGAAATTTGGAAAATCCGTGCACGTGTTTTTCGAGGACCTACGGTGCGATTCGTGCGATTTTATGATACGCGGTGCTGAAATTCTTAAGAAACCCAATGGTGTTTGAAGATTTCGGCGTGCGCGCGCGAAGAAAAAACGAATGTGTCCCATATGGTATTATTTGACAGGGATGATGGCCCTGGCAGGCGCGCAACCGTTGTTGCAGAAGTTCGAAGCACGTGAAAAAGTTGCTCGCAAGAGCCCGTTTGACAGAAATGTTGAAAAAGTATTGGGTTTCCTAAGAAATCCGCAAGAGCGCGCGGGATGAATTTTTGAAACTTTTTTTTTTGAAAAACCATTGGGTTTTTCATGTTTTTATGTTAAAATCGCTACGAAAACTAAGGTTTTGGAAGGATTTCATCTTGCGCGCGCGAGTGTGCACTTCGTGTCATTTTTTGCAAAGGATTCTTGAAGTTTGGTTATGTTAGAACAAGACATGTCATTTTATATTGTTTTTTGACAGGGAAAGCGGGCGTCAACAAAACAACCGGATCCGGACTCCCCCGTTTTGCCTGAGACTTCCTCGCGAAAATGATGAAAATGTGGCTGCGGCCTAGGCGCGGCGAGGGGGGCGTGCACCAGGGGGCCCAACAATAATTATTCTTTAGAAGTAATACTATTCAACAACAACAACAACAACAACAACAACAACAACAACAACAACAACAACAACAACAACAACAACAACAACATCAACAGCAACAACAACAACAAAAGACTTCCCCTGACTATTCGTGACTATTTTTGAAGATTCCTCCTGTAGAGGGACAGGCCCGACTTCAAACCAAGGCTGACGGGCCGCCCAAAAAGGTGCGGCTTTCCGCTGGCGTCACGGGCGGGCCCCTGCCCGCCTGGAGCGAGTTGGGGGGCGCAGAAGCGAGCGCATCGCCCGCGCCTGCTGCAGCTGGGGGTTGGGTGGGGGGTCAAGGCTTTCTTGGTTTAGGTCGGGCATGTCCCC